GTCCTGCCCCCAGCACTCCTTGAGCTGGGAAGTGTAAGATCAGTCTTGCACAGGCTGCAGACTGCCTTCCAAGAAGCCCTTGACCTTTACCGAATGGTAAGCTAAGGAGCCCAGGGCAGTGTAGGAGAATGGGAAGAGCCCTGGGGCAGTAACTGAACGTCCCCTGACAAGCTCACTCACCATCCCTTACAGTTGGTCTCCAGCAACCAGCTGGGTGCTGAGCAACAGCAGGCACAGACTGAGCTGGCCTCCGCCTTCCAGTGGATCCACAGCCAGCTGGAAGCCAACAGCTGGACGGCTGCAGCTAACTTGGCTCCACCCCAGACACTGCCTAGCCCAGGTGTGCCGCCCCCACCGACATTATGTCTCCTGGCCAGCCCGAACCTGCAGGCCCTGCTGGAACACTACTCAGAACTGCTGGTGCAGGCTGTGCGGAGGAAAACGAGGGGTGACTGAGAGCCCGCAGGCCCTCCACCACAGCCCTCTGCCCTGCAGAAGTAGAGTTCAGAACAAATAAACCGACTAAATTAAATAAGGGGCCTGGCCTGTCTGCACACCCTCCTCACTGCATGTGAGCTCCCACATGGATGAGCCAGCCTGGAGACGGCTTTGCTTCAGCTCTAGGCCCTGTTCTGTGGGAACATGGGACCAGCGGTAATGACAAATACCTGGCCTGGCTTCCCATGTAGCCTGTCTCTAGCATACTGAACTATTGCAGGGATCATGTGTGCTCTTTGCCCACTGGAGCCCATCTCTACCCTAAGGAGGAACTAGGATTCTTTGCTTGCTTGTTTTCTCTGTTCTGGAACTCTGTAGACAAGACTAGCCTTGAACTCAGATCTGCCTGCCTCTGCCTCCCAAGTCGTGTGCTGCCACCACCCAGTAGAAGCTAACCTTCATTACAGGTGCTTTCAAACCCAGTGGAGCCACTGTGGTCATCGGTCATCACAGGTCTGACTCTATCTTCAGTACATGCACTCCTGGCTGACAGCCCTAGGCTAAATTCACACTGGATCCTGCACGGTCTGGGTGGCTTTTGTCACATCAGCAGCAGGGGTAGTAGAAGACAAATACCACTAAACAATCTGCAGCAGCCCAAAGCCACCTAGATGCTGGGCCCTATGATGCCTTCATCATAGAGGACACTATCCTGCTTCATCCCATGAGCCAACTGCAGACACATAGTATGTTCCTAAGAAGGCCACTCCACATTGCACACATACTGTCCCAAGGCCCCGTAAAAAGGAACCCAGCAGACGAGACTCCTAAAGGCCAGGGCCATCACCCAGCTTCATCCCATCCACTCTAATGAAGGAAGTCCACAGGCTGATCTGTCTAAGGTCCCCTTGTAGGGAGTCAGGGTAGCTCTAATTAATATGACAGCCAGGCAGGTGGTGGTGGTGTGCACCTTTACTCCCAGCACTGGGGAGGCAGAGGCAGGCAGATCTCTGAGTTCCGAGGCCAGGCTGGTCTACAAAGCGAGTTCCAGAACAGCCAGTGCTGTTAAACAGAGGAACCCTGTCTCAGAGAAACCCAACAAAACAAACAAAACCAGCCTTGTTAGACCTGAGGGTAGCGCTGCACAGCAGCTTGACCCTAGGTTTCTCCTAGGGACAACAGGGCCAGCTACCAGGGGCATGGGAGGGGACACAGGGCACCTGAGAAAATAGCCCTCCCCCATCGAGTGTCAGCCCATCCTTTGCCACCGCCACCGTCTGTGCCCCACACCCGCCCTTGGCTCCCCCGATATCAGGACAGTCCCAAGGTAGTGAGACACCAAGCTACACAAGGGACACCAGTCATGACACGCAGTGGTGTGACATGGAGCCACTTCAGCCCCATTTCTCAGCCAGGTCAGCTGAAACTCAGAGAGTGCCCAGCCACTTCAGGACTAGTTAAGTCCAATCATGTGTGTGTCCACCGTTGGCTGACCTCACACCTGTGGAGATCAACACACTAATGAAGATGCCTCACACCCACTTACCGAATGAAGAAGCTGAGTGTGGATGGCACACACCTGTAATTCTGTTACTCTAGCACTTGGGAGACTGGAGAATCGGGAGTTCAAGACTAGCCTTAAGTACCAGCCTGGGTTGGATCAGACTCAGCATTTAAAAAAAAAAAAAAAAAAAACACACACACACACACACACACACACAATAAATATATATTGACGTGTTGGCTCCACGGTTAAAAGCACAAAGTGCTCTTCCAGAGGACCCGTCTCATTATCAACACCCACACCTGTTCATAACCACTGGGAACTCCAGCTCCGTGGATCCAATGCCTCTGGCCACCGCAGGCACTTACACTCACGTGCACCTTCAGACACTCGCACATGCAAAAGCCATGCTCTTGAAAGCTCAGGAGGTGATGTGCCCAGGTCCTACACCCTAGCACACGCAGAGGAAACGTGGCAAAGCTCCGCATGCAGGTGAGCTTGTACCCCACGAATCCAAAAGACTGACTCCCCTGTTAGGCACCGGTCCATCATTAGGAAAGTACCTGAGAAGCAGGAAAGGTTTGTTTAGGCTTGTGATGTCCAGCTGTGGTTGGCTGCCATGTTGCTGTGGGCCGAAGGCAGTGCAGAACTTCATGACGGCAGCTGAGGCAGGAAGAGCAGCTCACTTTGTGGCCAGCAACAGTGTCTGAGAGATGTCTGTGGACGGGACATGATCTTCACGGGTGCGTGTACCGGTGCCCCACTTCCTCCACCCAGGCCCACATCTTAGTTTCTACCGTCTCAAGAGCGCCATCAAATTATGAATCCATCGACAGACTGTAGATGAACCTAATCAGCTCTCGATTGGATTCACCAGCCAATGAGACCAAGTCTTTAGCACTCGGGCCTTTGGAGAACTTCATACTCTAATACAAAGAATGCAAAGAAATCTTTCTGGGGTGGAAAGTTCAATACAGCTCTGGCCTAGCATACACCAAGCCCTGGGTCCCATCCCTAGCACCAAAGAGAATGAGTATGATGGCCATGGCTGCAATCCAGGCATTTGAGAGGTAGAGGTAGTAGGGCGACAAGTTCAAGACCCTCCTCAGCTACATAGTCAGTTGGAAGCCAGCTTGGGATGCATAACACCCTCCTCTTGTTCTAGTTTGTTTGAAAAGGGTTGGTGGTGAGATGGCTCAGGAGGTAAAGGCATTTGCAGCACAAGCCTGGTGATTTGAGTTCAATCCCTGGAGCCCACATAGCTTAGGGTTTCTATTGATGTAGTAAAAATAAGTTACACACATACCTTTAGTCCCAGCACTCGGGAGGCAGAGGCAGGCAGTCCTCTGAGTTCCAGGCCAGCCTGGGCTACATAGAGAAACCCTGTCTCAAAAACACCAAGACCATAAGTAACTTGGGAAGGAAAGGCTTGCTCAGCCTGCTTATAACTGCTAGGACCTCCTGCCGGGGAGTACCAGCACCCAGTGACCTAGGCCCTCCCACATCAATCAATCAAATTTACCACAGGCTTGCCCACTGACCAATCTAGTGAGGGCCTGTTTTCAATTGAAGTTCCCTCTACCCAGGTGACTCTGGTTTATGCCAAGTTGACAGAAAACTAGCCAGCACATCACATAAAGGTGGAAAGTGGACTAATTCCTAAGGTTTGTCCCCTGACCTTGACATGTGTGAATGCCCCTTCTGCCATAATTTTAAAAATTAAAAAATGAAAACTATTGTCTTTGGCTGGGAACAGGGGTGCAGTTTCATGGCCAGCTTGGGTTACATGTAACCCCGTTGGAACGGCAGGGAGTATTGAGATGGCTCAGGGTAAGGGCACTTGACTTGCAGACTTCATGGCCTAAGTTCAGAATACCTTTCCCTTTCATTTGAGCCCTCTGCTTTCATGAATCCTATTGGAACCCCTAGGCTGGAGTAGAACTTTCAAAATTGGTTCCAGAAGTTCCCTTCCTGTTTTGCCTATCCCAGTTTGCATCAGTCTGTTTTTCACGGTTGACCATTCCTGATGTCACTACTGTCTCCTTCGTGACCTGGTGTGCTCATTTTCAGTGCTGAACTAAGAATAAGGCCTGCCTGTGGTACAGGTTCAAACAATTGCTAGATAAATCAGAGAAGCCAGGCAGTGGTGGCGCACAGCTTTGATCCTAGCACTCTGGAGGCAGGGGCAGGGAGATCTGTGAATCTGAGGCCAGCCTAGTCTACAGAGTGAGTTCCAGAACACCCAAGCTACACAGAGAAACCTCTGTCTCAATAAATAAATCAGAGAAGATAACCTTGGGGAGAATGTTCAGAATTCTTGACTCCTAATTCAGATATCAGCTAAGGACCAACTAGAACAGCCTACCCAGAGTGTGATCAGTTCCTGGCAACTCCTGGGATGGTAGGAGCCCTGTGTACTCACTAGGAGCTGGACTGTTGACAGTCTGAGAGATGCCATGTCATCTTTGGAAATCTGGAGAGCTTCCTCCTGAGGAAGCTTAGCCTGGATCTTGATTTTAACTACACATTCTGCTGTCATCCTACACCAGTGGCACAGAACAATCACTGCTTGGACAGCTGCTGTGATTTGAATAACCAGGCAGGCTGGTGTGTGTGTGTGTGTGTGTGTGTGTGTGTGTGTGTGTATGTGTGTGTGTGTAGGGGGCAATGGACACGGGACTAATTTGCCTGGTAAACAGTCCCTGGAGTCCTTCACCCTGCCAGGACTGGGGCCGTGTGCCTTTCTTCTCTCCATCCCCAGAAGCAGCCTAGGCTTTTCTCTCACTAAAGCCTCTCCAGGGGCCCTCTAGTGTGTTAGCCCCTGGAGATGGTAGCGTTCCTTGGGAGCCTGGCCCCTAGAGGGAAGAAGCCATAATGGCAGGCCCCAGGGCAGAGGTAACTAGAGCCAGTTAAGGCTGCTCCCCAGGCTTGTCCCAAAATTTGCATGGAGAGAATGAGGCTCCTCCATGGGCTCTTGACCTCGCCTAGTTCTGGATGGTTCTGGGGCTGAGGTCTGACAGGCAGCAGACGGAGGCAGTCCTGTGAGGAGCCATTGCACCATCCTGAAAGCAATGCCCCGGGTCTTCCTTGTGAGGAGTCGGCGTCCACAACCACCTAACTGGAGCCATCTGCCTGACCAGCTCAGGGGAGATGCCTATATCCCAGGTATGCACCTCACTGGGCCTGGAGGTGAAGGGCCAGGGGGACACGGTATCACCATCTGGCTTCTCTCCCCAGACTGCTGCAGCCTGGCGGTGCCCCCAGCGCACAGATCTCCCGGTCTGAGAGGCACGTGGGCAGCGGTGAGTGTGCAGCTGAGACAGGGGTGATTTCCACCTGCACCCAGGAAACTGGCTGCCCCTTACTGCAGGGCCTGGTGCACAGGCTTTGCGGCCCAGGACCTGCTTCTTCACTTGGCATGCTGCTCCTTTCCCAGCAGCCACCTCAGCCAGTCTCACATAAGACCCATATTCCTGGGGGAGGTGGGCAGTTGTAGGGCCCTGCTCCAGGGAGCTGTGTCCAGGGGGTGCAACCTAAGTAGAAGGTGACTTATGCCAGAACACGCTGGTGAACAGCGGTGGCGGTGGGAGCTCTGTTGCCTTAACCTCCCAGGAGCAGGGCAGCTGTGCTGTCTTTGACAGGAAGGGAAGTACTGGTCAAAATTGAGTGTGCCTGAGGTCATCTCAGTATCTGAGAGGCAGGCACTGATCAAGGTGCTGAGTATCCAACAAAGGAAAACTTCCTCATGGAGCTTCTCCCTGGTGGGAGCGGGAGGCAGACAATAAAACTAGGAAAGCTCCTATTAGCGAGGCGTGTCCTTGGCAATGGAGGGCCATGAGGTCAGTGACAGTGATGGGATTTGGTTAGGGAAAGAGGGTGGCATCTGTGCACACTACTCACAGACACTAAAGCCTGGGCAGGGTCCAGCTGGCCAGGCTAACTCCTGCACCCCTCTGGCAGTCCTCACAGGGAACACTGACCTCTGCTCCCAGGGGCCCGGGGACACTTGGCTGCCCACTCTGCCCCAAGGCTTTCCCACTGCAGCGCATGCTGACGCGGCACCTCAAATGTCATAGCCCAGCACGACGCCACGTGTGCCATTGCTGTGGTAAGGGCTTTCACGATGCCTTTGATCTCAAGCGCCACATGAGGACTCACACTGGTGAGTGACAGCAGGGACAAAGAGGGTCTTCTGGACACTAGATAGGGACGGTGATGGGGTGGGACACAGGGAGACGCATGAGATGCGAGGTTTCCGGGGATTAGCAATATGCAACAGGGACACAAGTAAGGAGACCCGAGAAGAGTAGAAGGTGACACTAAGGAAGGGCCTGGTAGAGGGTCGAGGTGGGCACTGGCTACACAGTTATGGTCCCGGGGCCAGCAAGACTCAGTAAGTAAAGGCAATTGCTGGCAAGGTTGACAACCTGAGGTCTTCTTATACTACCTGGGTCCTGAGTATTGACCTCAGGTTGTCAACCTTGCCAGCAATTGCAAATTACCTTCAATTTGAACCATGACATTTGTATACACACTCACTTGCATGCACCCACAAATGCATACACACTAAACAAAACAGTTAAAAAATTAAACCAGGCTTGGTGGCACTTGCCTTTAATCCCAGGAGGTAGAGGTAGGCAGATCTCTGAGTCCCAGGCCAGTTAGGGCTACACAGTGAGACCTTGTCTCACAAATAAATCAATAGGAATTGGAGAGGTGGCTCAGGGTTAAGGGCACTGGCCGCTCTCCCAGAGGACCCAGGTTCAGTTCCCAGCACCCACATGGCAGCTCACAGTTGTGTTATTTCAGTTCTGGGGGACCCTGTGCCCTCACACAGACATACATGTAAGCAAAAAAACAGTGTTCATAAAATAAATAAATCATTAAAAGAAAAAATAAGGCCTGGTGGTGTCACCACATGCCCAGTTGAGGGCAGAGGCAGGCATATTTCTGAGTCGAGGCCAGCCTGGTCTACAGAGTGAGTTCCAGGACAGCCAAGGGTACACTGAGAGACACTGTCTCAAAACAAAGACAAAAACAATAAAATATATTCTCAGTACCCAGAGTCTGAGCAGAGGACTTTCCAGTTCCCTGTCTTGGAAGAGCTTCCTGGTGAGGAATGGAGGAGGCACAGTGTCTGGCTCAGAACGTCTTAGGAAGGGGCAGCAGATGTTTGCCTGCCCAGCTTGGACTAAGGACAGGAAACAGAAGGTGGGGAGTCTGTAGTCCAAGGCCATTGCCCTCTCTGCCCCTCTTCTTTACAGGAATCCGGCCATTCCGCTGTGGAGCTTGTGGGAAAGCTTTCACCCAGCGCTGCTCCCTTGAAGCTCATCTTGCTAAGGTGCACGGGCAGCCAGCCAGCTATGCTTTCCGGGAGCGCAGGGAGAAGCTGCATGTGTGTGAAGATTGTGGCTTCACCAGCTCTCGGCCTGATGCTTACGCACAGCATCGCACGCTCCACCGCACAGCCTGATAACCTGGCTGCTTCCTATCCACGAGACGAATAAACACGGGCAACGCTAATATAGAAACTGGCATTTATTATGGGCGGGGGAAGGAAAGGTCACTCAGTCCAGCGGTGGCCGCAGTGTGGGGCAGTGCATACATAGTACAGGCGCATGGCATCCTGGCAATAAGAATGTTAAGTTAGGAAGTGTCTAGAACTAGGGGAGAGCAGTGTGGGGTATTCCGCCCCAAAAGAACAGTCAAGGGAACGTTCCAGTCTTGATTCGAGGGAGCATAGGCTCAGCCTAAAAACTGGCATCTCCAGCCCCGGGGGAACCACCCAGCCAAGCAGGAAAAAGTGGTCCACTCACCTCGGCTCGGGCACTGTGTGACTGGAAGAACACTGCCTCCTTGTGGCCACACCTACGGGGATGGTTCAGTTACTAATAGTGTGAAAGACCCTTGTCATCCCCCGGGGAACAGCCTTTCTCCTAAGCTGTGCTCACTTCTGGCAAGGGTGGTCCTCCGTCCGCGGCAACGTGGGGTCCTGCGACACGTCTGCGATGATCTGGGTCAGCTCGCTGCAGGGATGAGACGTGCGTAACTACTGTTAGACTGGGTGTCCCAACACCGTCCCCGTGCCCCAAGCCGGGGTCCCGCCACTCACTCCACTTCGTGCGTGATTTTGTTGACGTATATGCAGCTGTTGTCGGCTTCCTGCTGGTAATCGCAATTCCGGCACTACCGGAGGGGGATAGGGGCGGGAGGGGAGTCACAGAGAGATCAGACTGGATGGGAGGGACAGGGTGATCCCCGGAGGGGGTGGACCAGATGGGGGGGTGTACTGAGGGGCAGTCAAGAGGCAAAAGCGTGGGGAACCAGCAGGGAGCGGGGAGGAGGGAAGGCGCGAACCCGCAGGAGCGCGGCCGGTACTCACCGCGTACAGCAGGATGCGGTTCTCCTTGTCCTCCTTGGGGTACAGCATGTTATTACTGTGGGGAAGGGGGGTCAGGGGTCAGCCCTGAAGCCAATCCTCACTGCTTTTCCACACCAGCTGCCCCGGGCCTCACCATTCCTGGCAGAATCGAATACCCACGAAACCAGGCTCGTAGGTCCCGTCTGGTTCCATAGCGACCGGTCCGCCGAGCCTTTTGCGCTTGCGCGGCCGCGCTACGGACCGCGGGAAGGACCAGAACGCGTGGCCGCGCCAAATTTGGTCGGGGACGCGCGCGCACGCCTGCGGGGTCTGGCTGACGGCGGGCCTCGATCCTTTGATCCTCTCTGGTAATCACTCCCGATTTCGGAAGCTTGCTTCCCAATTTACGGAGCAGCACGGATCTAGGACAAGGGCTGAGACTACGATGCGCAACGCCACCCGCACGGCGCTGAGCGTAAACGGAAGGAGCGGTTGCTCTCCTGGCCCCAGGCCAGTGCACATGCGCCGAGCTTACTCTTGGCGGACCAGGATAACTCAGCCAGTCTTCCCTCTTGGCATCCGCCTCCTCCCGCCCTCCTGGGCGGCTTCAAGTGCGGCTATTGGAAGACCCGAGAGCCTCTGGGGATTGGCTGGACCTACCCGAGACTCAGCCTGGCGGAGGCGGAAAGGGCGATAGCGATTGGCCGGCCGTGTTTGTTGGAGAGATTGCATTGGTCAGCTTCGGGAGCAGGGGCGGGACTGATATCCCAGAAGGAGCGGCAGCCACTGCGGAGCCGGTGTGAGACGGCTGAACTGGACCGAGGGCCACTACGGGGCGCGGCGACATGGAGGTGTCAGGGGTATCGGCTCCCACGGTGACGGTTTTCATCAGCAGCTCTCTCAACAGCTTCCGCTCGGAGAAGCGGTACAGTCGCAGCCTCACCATCGCAGAGTTCAAGGTGTGGCCTTGGGGGCGGGGTCCGGAGGGCGGGGCCCGAAAGCGGGTGGGCGGAGCTTGCGGCGAGGTTGCAGAGACTGGCAACCCCGCCTCCCACGCGTGGGAGCCCCAGTCCACCGAGCAGGGGCGGGCCCGGGAAAATCAGATGCTCCGGAGAGCCGAGGGGGCGGGGCCCAGTAGGAACTGTGCTGGGTGGGTCCAGCGTCTTTGGGAAACGGCAGGGATACCATCGGAGTTGTTGATTCAAGCCAGAGAATGAGGCCTTTGATAACCTTCCTCCTCATTCTGCCCCCTTGTCACAGTGTAAACTAGAACTGGTGGTGGGCAGTCCTGCTTCGTGCATGGAACTGGAGCTGTATGGGGCTGACGACAAGTTCTACAGCAAGTTGGATCAGGAGGACGCGCTGCTGGGCTCCTATCCTGTAGATGACGGCTGCCGCATCCATGTGAGACCATCCTTCCTGGGACCCACACCATTCATTCCTTTATTTATTCAGCAATGCTGAATCCGGTATAGTCCCAGTTAAGGCTAGTGAAAAGCAGATGTTATGTAGACAGTGACAGACCAGCGTGGTCTGGGCTGGGTTAGAGGCACCCCGGGGGAGGGCTGAAGCACTCACCGGGCGCCTAGCTTTACTTGGGGGTATCTGAAAAGGCTTCCTGGAGGAATGGATGTTTGAGCTGGTGTCCTGAGGATATGATGTGGAGGGAAGGAGACCAGAGCACTAAAGAGTTGTGGTGAACCACAGTGAGCAGTAAGGCTGGCCGGATTGGGAGAAGCAAGGACACAAAAGACCTGCGTGCAAGAGCTCTCCTCCTGCCTTCAGCCTCTCCCCGCCTTCCGCCACTCGGTTCCTACCCCAGGGTGGCTTAGGGGTCCTGCTCTAAGCTCCATCCTCTTTTCTGTCTTGTGTTGTGTTCTCTATCCAAGTAGTTCACTTTTCAAATGTCTGCACGGCTGACCACTCTTAAGATTTTACCTCCCAGCATTCCAAAGGAGTTAGGAGGCAAGCTCAAGATAAGCAGTGAGACTCTGTTAAAAAACAAAACAAACAAGCAAAAACACCTAAGCCGGACCAGTGATGGCACTCAGGTTTAATCCTAGAATTGGGAAACAGAGGCAGATTGATCTCTGAGAGTTCAAGGCCAGCCTGGTTTACAAAGCGAGTTCTGGGACAGCCTGAACTACACAGTGAAACCCTGTCTGGAAAAATAAATAAAATGATCGGAGCTGGTTGCAGGAGCCGGTCAGCCTGAGGTCGGTTCCTGGAGCCTCATTAAGGAAAGAGAGAACCAACTCCACAAAGTTGTCCTGTGGCCTGCACGCATGTGCGCCCCTCGCTCATTCACTAAAAAGCGAAAGGCAGGTGTTGTGGAACTTCAAGGCCAAAGTTCAGTTATGAGCACAGAGCAAAACTGACAAGAGTCAGCAATTTCACTTGTTTTGTTTGTTTATTTGTTTGTTTTTGCATGCTGTGGTGTGTGGGACAGCATTCCAACAGGTCAGCAATGGATTTCCTCCTATGTGAGTCTTGTAAATTGAACTCAGGACCAGGTTTGGCAGCAGGCACCTTTACCCACTGAGCCATCTTACTGCAACATTCCTTCTATTCCTCCCCCTTTTTCTGTTTTGGTTTGTTTTTATGTTTGTTTAGTTTGTTTTATGTGTATGAGCATTTGGCCTGTACATATGTATGTGTGGAGGCCAGAAGAGGACCTTGGATCCCCCGGAGCTGGAGTTACAGTGCTGTGAGCCGCCATGTGGGTGCTGGGAACTGAACCTGGGTCCTCCGCAAGAGCAGCCAGTGCTCTTAACTGCTGAGCCATCTCTCCAGCCCCTCTCTTTTCTGAGATAGTTTCATGTAGCCGTGATTGACCGCAGACTCCCTGGGTAGCCATGGCTGGCCCTCTATTCCTGAGCTTGTCTCCACTTTCCAAGTGGAATAAAGCTCAGTATAAAAAAATGGCCTCCCTCTTTCCTTTGTAAAACATAATTGTGGGTTTTTCTTTGCTCTTTGCTGTTCCCACACTCCAAGGGATCATGGGAATTTCTCATTGTTCTGGCCTTTGTCTCCCGGATTAGAATTCCAGGAGGGCAGAAATGCCTGTCACTCTAGGTCACTGCTGTGTCTGTCACCAGCTGCTGGAATAGGGCTCAGCACAATCAGGGTCCTCCGTAAACCACTGAGTCTTTGCTGAGGTGTTGAATCCCCAGATTAACACCAGCACTATGGTTGAGTTATCTCCATTTGTGAAAGAAGAAACTCAGCTTCAGGATGGAATTGTTATTGTTGTTGTTTTCTTATGTTTTTTGGTTGGTTGTTCTTATGCAATTTGATTTCTTTTCTCGTGCGTGCGTGCGTGCGTGTGTGTTCCAGACTGTCCTTGTCCTTGAACTCATAATCATCTTGTCCCCACCTCCGGAGTGTGCTAAGATTATAGGCCTGGGCCACCCTCCCAACACTAGAATTTACTTCTCAAGGGTGAAGTCTTGCTAGAATTTTGACCTGGATCTGCCCTGACTTCAGAAGCCACTGAGCCTGGAGAACAGTATTCTGTTACTGGTTCTTCGAACATCTGTGTTGAGTTGGGTATAGTTGCAGCCATAACACAGGCAGAAGGCCTGAGTTAGCCCTACCCAGTGTATGTGGTGACATTAGCTAAGTGACCGAAGAACCAGATAGGAATCTGTGGGGATAAGGGTGTGCAGGAAAGCTTGCCATCCCATGTCCTGGGCAGGTTGGCTTCAGTGAGATCTGTGAGGCCTTCCTGGAGCAGGCGTTCTGTGGACATCTCAAGAAGTGTGTTAGTAGAAGAGGCAGGGGCGGACGTGGCCTGTGAGAGGGAGGGAACACAGGCTGCTGGGAGCTATTGGGATGGAGGGTGGAAGCTGGGAGGACGATGAGCGTGAGGGATCCGCTGTGCCTCGGGCGCTTAGGGGCACCCTTAGGTTGTAGACGGGAAAACCAGATAGGAGGCTGTCATGACCCCGATGATCCTGGTTCTGGAGGTTGGACCCACCCTAGGAGCATCACAGGGGCCCTAAGAGGAAGCATGTGAGCCAACCGTGAGCTCTACAGCTGGTTCAGGGGCACGGCCACATCAGCGATGCTGATGCCAGCGTGTGGAGAGCCCTGGAAGCAGATGCAGTATCCAGAGGCCTAGACAGGGGTGAGGAAGGGGGGTGGCCCGTGTCTGTTCTGCTGGGCTCGGTGGGAGGAGAGAAAAGTGGCTTCTGCTAAAGTCTCCAGACGATGCCAGCATCCCCGGTCTTCTCTACTGGCCTGGTCCCCACTGACTTTCTTCCTCTTACCAAAGGTCATTGACCACAGTGGCGTCCGGCTTGGCGAATATGAAGATGTGTCCAAGGTGGAGAAATATGAGCTCTCACCAGAAGCTTATGACCGGAGGCAAAGTACAGAATGCATGGGCTGGGCTGGAAGGGGCATGTGGAAAGGGAGGGAGGCCGGGGGACAGAGTGTGGCCGTCACAGGCCAGGCAGTGGGGACAGGTCTTGCAGGACGGGAGATGGTAAGATCGGACTGATGATAGGGACAGATACTGGGAGATGAGTTCAGGAGTGGCATGGGAGGCTAGGAGATGGTTGGGCAGGCTAAGAGGGCTCTAAGGTGGGCTGGGGATTGGGTCGAGGGAGTAGCCATGGTAAAGATGGCGTGGGCTGGGGTAAATGGGATGTATACAGGATAGTGTGGCATTTGGAGCAGCATCTGGGAAAGGGCAGAAGGGGCAGATGGGGACTCAGATGTTTCAGGGGCCAGGTGAACATGGATGGGAGACCAGAGGGTTATGTGGGGAGACAGTGCCAGTCGAGGGACTGGAGACAGGTGGCATCCCGTCAGTTCTGAATTGCAGGGAGTTCCAAATAGGGGAGAGGCCAAAGCAGCCGTGAGAGGCTTGAGGGTGTCTGGCGGTGGAATGCCAGTCTTTTGTGGGAGGGGCATGAATGACCTGGAGGTCAGGTTTGACCCCATCCTCACCCGCCCACAGACACGGTTCGGTCCTTCATGAAGCGCAGCAAGGTAGGCCCATACAATGAAGAACTTCGGGCGCAGCAAAAGGCTGAAGCCGCCCAGCGCCTCAGCGAGGAGAAGGCCCAAGCCAGTGCCATCTCTGTGGGTAGCCGTTGTGAGGTGCAGGCGCCTGGCCAGTCCCCTCGCCGCGGTACAGTCATGTACGTAGGTAGGTATCATTCCGTCACCGTGACCAGAAACTCGACAAAATTTAGGGAAAGGTGTCTTTTGGCTCATAGTTTCAGAGGGTTCGCTTCGTGGCCATTTGGCCCCATGCACTTGGCCATCGCATCATGGAGCACCAGGCTGGCCTCAAACTCAGAGACCCACCGGCCTGCGCCTCCCAAATGCTGGGGTTAAAGACATGCACCACCACTGCCCAGCTCACACTGAACCTGTGTACCAGTCACTAACTTGAAGCCATGGCTTATCCATGGCTACATTGCCACCTAAACCTTTCTCCGTGGCTGTACGGCAGAGCT